TGGGCCTAACAACTAACACTACTTGTGCCAGGAGGTAGAATTAGATTAAGTTCTTCCACATGTATCCAATGACATTTACCTGATAGCAACAACAAAAGTTTAAGTTGTGTTCAGCAGTAGCTTCTCTCTTTTTTTGGATGTAGCATCTTGATTTCTTATACTGCAGATTTCTTTCTTGATTTCTTACATATTTCTTACACTTACAGTGCAGTCGTATCTATATCAACTCAGAGGTAATTCCTTTTGAGTTCAACTGAATGTACTCCCAGGTAACTGTATGTAGGATTAATCCTTAAGAATATATTGTCATATGCAAATACTCAAAAATAGCAATGCATACAATTTATTAATGCATCACTATTAAACTATTATACTATGTTTTTTACCCTAAAATGTGATTAGAGTTTCTTTGTCTTCTTTGCTGAGCATTTCCTGTTCTGTTTTCTTCATCAAATGTTCCTTTAAAATATTTCCTTGACAAAGTACTTTATCGCATATTATTTTGGAACAAACAGATGCAACTTCATCTTTTTCAATATTTTAATGCTGGCTCACCAGCCCAACTTAAAGTGAATAATACCATGTTTTTAATATGATAAATGAAGTCCTGCTTTCCATAGATGCAAAATTGCAGTTGCAACAACAAAATAGTTTTTAAAATGCTGGCAAAAACAGGCATGCAATGCTTGCTATTAAATAATGAAAGCATATATTTCTCCCATTCTCAACTCCAATAATGATTTGTAATCTTTCACGGATTTCCAGAAGTAAACCATTGAATAGGGAAAAAAAGCACCACCCCTACATAATAGAATGAATTCCTTCCCTGCCATGTGTGTGAAATGAAGCAAATATGTTGAATACTAGATAAATAATAAGTACTGCAGTGTCATTATGCATAATTAGCTAATTTTATTCAAATAGTTTCAGCTATCCTTCAAAGCACCTGCGGTAAATAGGACCCAGGTCAACAGTGTTACCATCAGCAAGAGAGCAGAGAGTGACTATATGAATAACATGTTCCTTTAATGAGCCAGCCTTTTTTTCCTTTCAGCTCCAGCTGACCAAGCTGGTTTCCAGGTCACTCGCAGCCTTTATAGAGGAATAGGCTGACATGGTATAGGATTGCTATTTTTGCATCTCATCCAGAACTGTGATGTTGGCAGCAACTCAGGTCAAGTAGACCTAGACTGCCGTGAGGACCATGCTGATGTCTGAACGCATTGCTTACATTGCAACCTGAAGCTATTGCAATCTTGCTAGTTGTAATGAAGTTCTGAAATAGTTTGAGCATTGTGACTTTATTTAGGAATAGTAGCTGTGTGCCTGTGGGAAGGAAAGTGATTTTAATACAGGACTGAATGCACAATTGGGATTCAGCAAATAATTAACATATCCTTCCTGAATTATTTCAGTGTCATTTTTTATATAATCAGATTGTGCAGCTAGATGATCAGTGCCCAGGGAGATACAATCAATCAAATGCAGGGTGTATATTAATCTTGAAGTTGTTAATTGGTAGGACATGCACACAACAACAACAACAACAACAACACACTTATTCCTGAGTTCATTGCAGTCCTGGGGAGCACTTCAAGTGGACCAACTAGAAACATCAGAAAATGTTCTTCCTGTCACAATATTAACTCTCAGAATCACTTTAAACTGAGTCATTTCCTACATAGATTATGCTTACAAGAGCTGAGGTAGGGCTGTCACAAACAGGGAATTTTGGAGGACTTTCTTTCATAGGGTTTCCATAAGTCAACATGACAGCACATAATGACAGCAAGCATGGATTGTGCTGAATTACACTGTAATTGTGCCCACCTGTTGATGGAGAGCAGAATGCTGCAAAGCCATACCAGCTTTCTTTCTGATAGTTATCTAATACTATAGTATAATTTGTCAACATTTTGGAAAAAGTTAGAGGAATTTCAATGTTCCATCCCTTGCTTCTCCTGCAGTGCCCTATAGCGCAGTTGAATGGTTGATGAGAGTACAACTGTGTACTTTTAATGTGTCACTTTTAAAGTATCTAATCTACTGAAGAAATTTTGAGGGTTTTACCTAGAACATTCTCAGATTTTCTTAACAGAACACTATAGCTAGTGATACTGTGGTTAAATATTTAGTTCCCCACCCCATCCTAGTTTAAATTCCAGGAGGTAGATGTTGCCAAGAACTCTCTTCCTGTGTTTTTGTAGCCTAATTGTGGCATCACTTGCTTAATAGACATTGACAGATCATACTTTTAATGTTATAGGATAACAGCACTGGATGCTTCAAAAATGCCTCAGAAAAATGCATATCCAAATTAAACCAAAGCGGTTTTTAGGGAGGAAAGGGGCAGAACTAACCCTGATGTATCATGATTTTTCCATTGCTTGAATCATAAACTTTTTTAATTCCAGAGGAGCATGATTTCTGTACATGATATATATTGCTTGATTGAACTTTATGGGATAAGAATATGGTTGGTGGTTGGTATATCCAAATCAGTCACCTCACCATGTCCTGCCTGTCTCTCAAGTATTAGTACCTAAATAGTTGCTATGAGCAACCTCAGTGTACTCAAATTGAAATGTTTGTCATCTTCTAGCATACTGCTCCTTCAGGTTTTACATGTGAAGTGGTTCTTAGACGGGAGTTGTTGATGGCCTTGTGTCATGTGTACAGCAGGGATTTCCTGATTCTTGGGCTGTTTTAATTTTCAGAAATTATACATGAGAAACATTCACTCTACTTCACAAGTATAATATCTCCTTTCATTTCCAATTCTTCAGTAGGGATGACTAATGTGTCAAGTAGAAAAAGAAATCCAGGCATGTTAAGATAACAACTGACATTGTCCGCTGGGAACCACAGAATATTGAGGGCAGTTGACAGTCAACTCTGGAGGGGGGTTGACTTGCCTGCACACTTGCAATTTATATTTATTTAGATTCCAGCGCAAGATGCCATACACTTCTTGTGCCTCTGGCCCATTGAAATAAAATGGGTCTCCTAGGTTGTTAAAATGTGAAGAAAGCCCTCCAAGTGTAAGAAATCCTTTCATCTGAGCACTTTCAGTTGCAAAAACACCAGTGTATCTGGCAGTTTAAGGGATTTTGGAATCTCCTCTTCAGTTTTTCAAAACGCTGTCATACAGAATGTGGGAAAGAGGTAAAAGTGCCCTTCCCTCACATTGTACTGCAGGCTGTGGGTTAGATCAGGTCATCTAACTGCCGCAATAAGTGCTGTCGATGCTATTCTAGTCGGTGTGGTGTGGTGCGGTGAGCTACAGACTTCTACACCTAATTGAGATGCTATTGACTGAAAAAACAATTACTTTTTCTGGATAAATGTGGTCATTTTACATGCTCATATGACGCTACTCCAGATCTGCAAGTTTAAGGTACTGAAGTAAAGTTGCTTGACAGGCAAAAGAATCCAGGCCTCCTTTGGTATCATGATGCAATTACTTTGAAATGAAGTTGCATATAATTTTTTAGGAAAATAGGTTCACAGGATATCCTGCTGGGATAAACTGCAGTTTTTGCTTCATCCAGACAAATCAACATGCTCTTCTGTGCCATCAGTTAGGAACAAAGGGAAGTCTCTGATTCTACCACCAACTGGGGGACTAACACTACTGGCTACTTTCCCTCCTTTCTTTTCAGAAAGAGATCCATCATAACTGCCAGCTACTCTGTGGATTTCTGCCAAAGGGTGCTGGCTATTTTGGGTCTGTTGGGGGAATGTTGAGGAATCTATCCCTTGATCCTTTCCATCTTTAAACTGGAAATACAAAAATATTTGGGCAAGCCAACCAGAGCCTTAGGGATATAATGGAAACCTAAAATAAGTGTGTGCAAATGGGTGCAAATTTGTATATTTAGCGATCAGTGATTTAGTGTGAACAGAAACTGTTGGTTATGCTTTGCAAAAGAGATGCCAGTGTTTCCTTGTATTTCTGTTATTTCCAAGCAGTGGTTTTATGCTACTGCACCATCATATTCTGTAGCAGTTACTGCCTTTTTCTAAAGGCAACTATATAAAAAAAAAACTAGCCTGTGCCAGAAAGCTGTGCTTTGATACTTTCTTGAAAAACACATTGCCATTTAAATATATAGCCATATTTTATCTGATCTATTTTATTATTTTAAAAAAAATCAGATGATGTTTCAGCTGAAATATTCTGAAGCATTATCATTTGGCTTAGAAACTTAACTAAAACCTATTATCTGAATAAACCGTTTTTAAAAACATAAAACATCATCTGTGCAAGAGTTATTATTAAAGAAATGGGTAAGGAACTGCCTTCCTGTTCTTTTTGTTTTTTTAAATAATGTAATCTCATTAGCATTTCATTGTGCTAGCTTTCAGGAAGGCACAGTTAATTTTTTTATGGAAAAAGGTAGTCATGAACATACATGCCTTGTTACTATTTAAATTATGCAGATTCTTGATGCTGTGAAAATTTGTGCTTGATGACGCCAAGGCAGCTGCACGTTGTTAGCATTGTAGGCTGTCAGATGATCATGTGGGATTCTTGCAGCATGCAACATTCAATAGGATTGAAAAAGGGCTTTTGATGCAAGGCATAGGTTCTGAATATATTTGTGCCTTTTAGCTACTTATTACAGCAAACCAAGCTAACTTTAAATTTTAAAATGCTGCCTCATTTTTCTTCTGGTTGGTTTCATTTTGGCTTCACTAGAAGATGCATCTGGTACATCCACAATTGAGGAGTTTATTAATGCTACTGTCGTTCAGTTCACTTTCTTTTCTTTTAGGCTCGTAGCTAGCACACAGATGACATGATCACATATTTGTTCAGCCACCACCATGCATGGTTTCTTCCTCTGCTTTCTCTGCATTATTCCCTCCGTTAAGTTACACTGTCATGTTCTTCCTTACCATTAAGCCTTGTCTTTGTCTCTCTCCTTCTTCTGTTGTTTGCTGTTACATTTTTCTCATGTTTGGTTGCTGCAATATTATTTGATTAACTGGCTGTGATGATGATGAACCTGCACACTGGAGGAGCAGCTACTACAGTAGTGATGAAGGGATGTAATAATGGTCGCTATCCTCGGAATTCTCTCTACAGTGACTGCATTATAGAAGAAAAGGCAGTGGTCCTGCAGAAAAAAGACAATGAAGGATTTGGGTTTGTGCTCAGAGGGGCCAAAGGTATGTGGATTTTCTGTGTCTATGCAATTGGGCGAATACCTATGTGAAAGATGGCATGCATTTCTGAAAATAAACAGGCATTATTCCTTATGCATTTGGTTGCTAGACAACAGTGTTCTCTCGGTGCAGTAGTACTGAAATGGATTTTACTGGTTTCTGATTGAGCAGTTTTGAGGGGTGTGTGTATATTCATACATATTTTAATGTTTATATGTATCTATATGCAATGCATTTAGAGAATAATTTTGAAAGGAGAAGTTGCCTAGGTATTTCATGTGTTTTACTGTGTAGTTTATCCAAACTGTACCATGCTTGTTGAAACAAATAGCAAAAATGGATTCAATTAAAATGTTAATCTATTAAAAAATCTATTTGCTGAGTGATGAGGCATGGCTTTGTTTAAAATGGGTTTGTAGTTTGTTCAGGGTAAAACTACTGCAGTTTTAGTATGGAAATCATATCATTCTTATATCTATAGAAACTACATGTATGTTGAATGGCCTTTCAGTCTGTGTTCTGATTTGAGGGCTGCCTGGCTTCATGGGCTCCAATGTGTTAATCATTTTCGTAATTTCAAGTCTACCCTGTATATTTTTGGTTTTTTTTAATAAATGAAAGGCATCTTTTAAATTCTCTGCATATTATTTATTTTGGATTTCATTTTTTATATGGTGGTATTTCCCAATGCCTGCAACTAGCACCCCTCAATCGCTACATGGGCTCTCCCTAACTCTGACTGGCTTCAAGGGATGGCTACCCCATATGTTCTTTATGGAGGATCCTCCACACCCTTCCTCTGGGAATACCATTTTTATCATTCCTTGCTGGAATAGCAAGTACCTATTGGGTTCTCCTAGCTATGTAATAGTTTCTGATTAACACTCCAGACTAAATGCACATTTTGGTGGGGTCTTCTGGAAACCCAGTGACTTCATCACTGTGTCGATCAGCTGGCGCTGAGCTATCTATGCAGCAAAGAAAGGTCCCTAGATATATGTGTTAATTTCACATGGACTGAGATGTTTATATGGAAATATTCAAGTGCCCTTTTAAAACACAATGCTATGCCAAACTTAATGTATTAAATGTGTGGTTCTATGGGTGTTAAATCACATATCTGCAAAGCTTATCAGTGTATATATTTGTAACATGTACATTCAGCAGTTCATACAGTACACAGATATGTACCTGATGCTCAAAGAAATACATATATTATACTTGGAAATTGAAGGTCTTCATACCTTTTTGGTAATAGCTGCCAGAAAGACTTGACAATTTTCATATGCTTTATTTCTCTATGCACACATCTGAATATTAAAATTGATGTTTAATGTTTTCCCATTAATGTTTTGGAATGCAATTCCTGATCCTTCAAACTGGTTCAGTTTTTAAAATATACCAGATCAAAGTGATCATACAGGTAAAAAAGAGGAAGATCTAGTGGGCAGGGGAACATCTTACTAGTATTTGTCCTTGCACCAGTCAGTTCATGAAATTATTCAACTTTATAATGTAAAGGTTTATTTTCCATCTTTAAAAAGATATCATTTATTATTCTCAAAGCTGATACACCTATTGAAGAATTCACCCCAACTCCAGCCTTTCCTGCTTTGCAGTACCTGGAATCCGTGGATGAAGGTGGGGTAGCATGGCAAGCTGGCTTGAGAACAGGCGACTTTTTGATTGAGGTAGGAGAAATTGGAATGTGTCTTTTTTCTTTTTTGTGAAAAATACTGTTTAATCAGTTTGCGAAACTTTGCCTGTCACACTAGTCCTTTTTGCTCATGGTGGAGAGGGTGATTCAGCAGATTGGTACAACTCCTATTTACATATTCTCTTGCGATTCCATTATTCCAAACTGATTTTTGCCAAATTGACAAAATAGTGGGAATATGGATGTGTGTGGTTCTAGGCAATGCAGTGTTATATGTGAGCAAGCTCCACAAGAGAGGTGGTTAGAGTAATTCTGTGTTTCCTAGTTTGGGATAAATATACTTTTAAAGGGGATTGAAAGGATGTTTAGTACAGTATTTAAAGAGTTGTCTTTTAATTACTAGCCTGATTCGTCACATAGGTAGCAGCAGGAGGTGACATGGTGATATCTGCCTTTCCACAGAGATAGTAACTCCATCTCTATGGTGACAGGGATTCTGTTATTTCTTTGCCCCGGTAGCATAATGGATCATACCCTAGATTGTTGGTTGGTTGCAGCTGCTTAACAGTGAGCACTGCATAAAGTGATTAAGTAGCAAAGAGTAATGCCTGAGTGGGAACACGTGCAAATGCAGTTCATAAAAGGGGACACAGTTGGAGGGGTCTGAATTGAAGTGCATTAGTTTGTTGTTTGTTAGTCTTATTTTATCTTAAAGAAGATATTGGAGAGTAATTAAATGTTCCTACCAGTGAAGATTCGCATATGGGCCTCAATGTGATTTATATGGCATTTTCCTCAGTTTTAGGAGATTGTCACACATAAGCACTGTGTTGCTTTTATTATGATACTGAGTTTATTGCGTATATCTGAACAAATAAAGACCTGTTAATGCAGTATAAATAGTATTTTGGCATTTCTCTTGTTTGTCAAGTAAAGAATGATAATGCACCATATCACATGTATTATTATTTTTCATATGGTTCTCAAAGGTTTATTTGTTGAACCTAAGGCTAGTAAACAAAAGTTATTTTCATATATAGGATATAAATATTTAGAGTTCTTTTTGTCAAGCGGTGTACTTATTTGCAAAATAGCTGGATTAGAAAATCTGGTGATTTTCCCTCATTCTATAAGTAAGCAGACTTTCCTAGGCAGAAATAGTGAACATTCTTATTTCTTCAGATTTTGTGTTAACCTTATGCAGTTGCATCAGCAGTTGGTTGTAGGGCCAAGTGTGTTCTTGGTTGCATAGGTTTCAGCAGGTATATTAGAAACCAAAACAAAATGTATAAGAATGTAGCTTTATGGATATAATGCCTCTCTGCATAATTGCCTCATATATTTCATTGGGTAATGACCTGTATATGAAGGTAACTTGATATTTAAAATACTTCCCTGAGAGTTTATTGCATGGATTTCAAACTTCTAAGTCTGAACTTTAGAATAACTTCTAAATACTAAGCCTTTGAACTTGCTGCCAGCCTGCATGGCACATAGCAAGTGCATTCATCATCACTATTATCATAATCTAAAGAGCTACATTCGGCACGCCCCGAGGCTTTGCATGGCCAGCTGGATGTGCAGACTCTTTTCCCTTGCAGATATGCAAACAGCTTTTGAATGACCCCACAGTTTCAAAAGGAGTTTACTTTGTCACCTGGGTAGACTTTTATTCAAGAAACACCATCCCAAAGCCGTCTCCTATCTGTAGAAGTAGATCCGTGCTTTTTTGGCTGCTCTTTACTACTACAAACCAGTGTGCCAGCACTGCAGTGCTGTTTCTCCAGTGTTGCTGGAGGAGTCATGGGGGTGGGGGGTCTATGTAGATACATATTTAGGGCCAGGGTGCCAGGAAATTATAGAAAGTCAAATTAAAAGTGCAGAATGGTTAGGAAGCATTGGGGGTTTCAAACAGGTCTAATAGAAATCTTTTGACCCATGCTATTTAGTTATGCTAAAGGTATACACATACAAATCTGGATTGTCAAGAATGAAGATCAAACATAATTTAAACCAACCTTGTAATTTAAAATGGCTTCCCCCCACCCTGAAAAATCATTTATACTAATTAGTTGCTGTCTGTAACAAGAAAGGGAGATATGTGTCTCCTAGTATCATAGCACATGATACTAGTATCTTTAGCACACCTAAAGATGAAACCTGGTTATTTGAAATGTTCATAATAAGGGTTATGGAAGTGTGCACTCCAGGGCTATTTGTTCTTTTAAAAATGCATTAATTATTTGAATTAATACAAAAAATCTGAATCCTGCAGTACTATCTTCAATCACTGCTTCTCTAAGAAGGCCATAGGACTGCAGTCAAGGCAGGTTCAAGCCAGAGAGGAATTGTTCAAGGAAAAGAACTATATGACTGTCTCCCTCTTGCTTTGCAGAGCTGCCCTCTCACGGGGGAATTGGATGAGTACTCCGATAATTACAAGGGTTATAGGAATTCACCATGACAGGGGCCATACTGGGGTACTACTGAACATGGCATCTTAGATATGGCAGGCAGATTGTGTCTAACACTGAGAGCTATGTAATGTTTCTTGAAGGCGCTACCATATCAAACTATGGCTATACCAATCCATGCAAAGCTGAATGCATTCTCTAGTAATGGAACAGATTTTTTTTCTGGCAATGAAATACAAGCTTTGTATAATATAAACTGAAACTCAGTCCAGATAAGACGGAGGTTCTGATAGTGGGTGATTCGAGCTCCTGGGTAGGTGACTTGGGCCTTGCCCTGGACGGGGTTGCACTCCCTCTAAAGGACAGGATCCGCAGCTTGGGAGTGCTCCTTGACCCGGAACTGTCCTTGGAAGCTCAAGTGACAGTGGTGGCAAGGAGCGCTTTCCTTCAGCTTCGGCTAATCCATCAGCTGCGTCCCTACCTGGAGGAAGATGGCCTAGCAACAGTAACACACACATTGGTTACTTCCTGGTTGGACTTCTGTAATGCGCTTTACGTGGGGCTGCCCTGGAAGACAGTCCAGATACTTCAGATGCTGCAAAACATGATCTGTGAGCCATCTCGAGGCTTCGTTGCGATGGGGGCAGCATAAAAATGTTATAAATCAATCAATCAATCAATCAATCAATCAGAGCTGCCAGGATGCTGTCAGGGACTGGGCATTGTTCTCATATAACATCAGCTCCACGGGTTTCCCATCGAAGTCCGGGCTCAATTCAAGGTGCTGGTTATTACCTATAAAGCCCTAAACAGCTTGGGACCAGGATACCTAAAGGAAAACCTTCTTCCCTATTTGCCCTTACACGCCTTGAGATCGGCAGCAGAAGCCCTCCTCTGGGAACCCTCTGTGAAAGATATTAGGAGACAGAGTACCCAGAGGAAGGCCTTCTCTGCGTTGGCACCTCGTCTATGGAATGCGCTCCCCAGAGAGGTCCGCCTGGTGCCGTCATTATGTTTTTTGGTGCCAGGTTAAGACCTTTTTATTTAATCAATATTTAACAAGTTTTAATATTGAATTTTATTACCATATTTTAATTGCAGCCAGAGTGGGTCATTAATTTATTTATTTTATATCTTTATGTATTCGTATTTTATTTGTGTAAGCCGTCCTGAGGCTCTCGCAAAGGACGGCATACAAATATTTTAAATAAATAAATAATATAGGAGCATAATCTAAGCACATTGGTCTTGCAGGTCCACATGTGTTTTGCACTGTGAAATTGCACCATAGTGACTAGTTATAGACACTTTTTATGCTCTTTCTGCACATGCAAGGTTAGCACACAAAAATGCTTAATAGAAGAATAAGACTGTAGTCGTTTGCACACTCATTTGGAAGTTAAAAGGTAAAAAGGTAAAGGTTTCCCCTTGACATTAAGTCCAGTCATGCCTGACTCTAGGGGGCGGTGCTCATCTCCGTTTCCTAGCCGAGGGAGCCAGCGTTTGTCTGCAGACAGTCTCCGTGGTCATGTGGCCGGCATGACTAAACACTGAAGTGCATGGAATGCTGTTACCTGCCCACCTAAGTGGTACCTTTTTATCTACTTGTGTTTGCATGCTTTCAAACTGCAAGGTTGGCAGGAGCTGGGACAGAGCAACAGGAACTCACCCCGTTGTGCAAATTCGAACCAGCGACCTTTCGATCAACCAGCCCAGCAGCACAGCAGTTTAAACCACTGCGCCACCTGCAGTCCCCATTTGGAAGTTAGTCCTGTTCAAAAACAGAGATGTACCTCCATGTAAACTTGTATAGGAATGAACTATAAACATTCCAAACTTTCTGGAAAAAAGCAGTATTAACTAAACAGAATAGTGCTTCTCCATGAGATGGGATGTAAATGTCCTTTCTGTTCAGTTGGTAGAGTCATAAACCTTCATAATTTTAGAACTGAGTACTCTGCAGTGCTCAAGTAGTTGGAGGGCATAAAAATGGAATATCAGATCACCCAGATGGGCTCAGTAGATGATTGCTGGGGGTTTTATTCCTAAGGTACCACTGCCTGTGACAATTTGCTATTTTCTGTATCTATTATAAGGCCTACTATAATAAAATATATTTACCCAAGAAGTCACATGCCTTTAACTCGATATTTTTTTGTTGGGGGTCTTGATTCAGTTTTAAGATAGTTTGTATCTACATTAGCATGCTCGTATTTTTGTTCTGTATGAAACTCAGATTTTCTTTTCAGCCAGATTGTTGTCAAAAGATAGCATACTTTGACTGAAATATAAATGCCTGCATTGTTGTTTTAAAGCAGCCTGACCTAACCTGGTGCCCTTTGGGTGCATCCTCAGACAACCATGCTAGTCCAACTTATTTGGAGGGCACTAGATTGAAGACTGTTTTAAAGCATCATTTGCATCTACTGTGTCAAGAGAACTCTGCAAACCTCTGCTACTTCGGCCATCTTTAATTTTTTTTAATGAATTCAGTAGCTTGGTGAATTGAGCTTTCTTTGTCAGTGAATTGAAGATCACTGGCAATATGATCTGTAAGCAAAACCTACTGTATGATAATGATATAATATCCATAATATGACCAATTACCTGCATATTTAAT